ATTGGGTTAGATGTCATATATTGTCATATATCCGAGTGCATCAAGATCTGACTGCTCATATGAATTGTCAGGAGATCACTGGGGTTTGATGTGAACTTCAACATTCAGTCACCTACTGGAATGTCAATCCGTGTTGCGACAGGGATACATTACTTCGACGGCGAGGAATGCACTAACTCAGCTCTGTTGAATAATTTAGCAATAACAATATTTCTGCGGTTCCACTCCAATAAAGTAATGGGTATTGTTTCTACCGATGGCGAATCAACTGTTCAGACTATGGTCTGAGTTATCCATAGATCTTTATGCAGTAGCAATGTCATAGGGGTACATGGCTGCTTATGTATTCCATCCCTTTCCACTTTTTCATAATTCCAGTGGCGATTAATGTCACACTAACACATGTAGCACCACAATGGCCAAGCAAGGTGTGATTTATCCTACTCAGTCGCTCTCTACGATTAGTACTGCCAGAACAGAGCTTTTATTTGCCAGTGAACCCACACGTATTCTTGTTGTATGTATAGAGATGCTGCAGTATATCAGCCATGCAACAATTTTTAACTTAGGTATGCTTGTGTTGGCGGTTTCTTTTTAAGAGACTTTCGCTTCAAGGCCGAAGTGTAACCGAAATTATAGTTTGAGACATGACTTGAACTTGATATGGATGAAGTCATGAGCTGTGTGAAGAAGTGATTACGTAATTCCTTGAAAATAACATTGAATTCAAACGCTTAAAAAAAGTTAATCGGCATAGAAGGAATTTTTTGAGTGTGGAGAAAGGTAAATAATACAGCTGTCTTCGAAAGTTGGGAGCTTGAAAAACAAAATGTAACCCTGAAGGCGTAAAGTACGAGACTTATGGAGAAACAGTTACAGCAGGATAGACGAAAAATTCAAGACGGTACCCGATTTTCCTAAAGTGGAAAATGAACATCGGTTGATTGGCCGCAACGCCAAGGACAAGTAACCTGATTAAATCATCGCTCGCTTTTATAGTAGACCTATTACAAAACTGTTTTGCCACATTTTGGATATGTATGCATGGATTGCGAGGTCGAAATAATCTGGTTTCCTTCGGAATGAAAAAAACACCATACATCACAACCCCCCGAAAATTTGTGATGTGAGATCGGAAATGTTGTTAAATAATAGATATATATTAATTGATTATTCATTATATTATATATAGTGGTTAAGTCATGGATAAAGTGCAGATGTAATTTGTGAAACAACATGAGGTCATAGAATGACACGATCTCTTTTTGTTAGTTTCACTGTATAACTAAATGGCAAATACAATTACGACTTATTGGCGTAAAGCTCTTTTTATTTGCTATGTGGAATAAACCTGATGGGTGTCAGATACAAGCGACGTTACCCGTAAAGCCAATTATCGTTGCCACCAGTAATTCAGTATATTCCAATCAGGGAGCTTCAGGGATACATATGTATAATATATGCGGGAAGGCTAACAAACTGGCTAGCAATTTCCCCCAAAGGAGCTTCACTAGCTTTGGCTACAAGGTTTTGGCTTCGTGAGTGCACTTTTATAATCTGATTTAATTTAACTACTCTTTTACTGAAGTTGGGTCCACTTTTTGTGTGGAAGCACCTTAGTAACCACGAAATGTCATGAACTAATTAGGGGTCAAATACATTATAACCTTTTCTTCTTTAGCATTATTAGTCAGCCATTCATTCAGAATGCTTGCTTGGGTCGAGAGGCTAGGCTGAATTTAAAAGATTCTGCTATTACTGATAACCATCATGATATGCATTTTATTGCTTCATCCTTGATACAGCTCTTTCACTGTGATTCCATTACTCAATTGTTTTCTTTACGACGCCACTCTGTACTGGAAACAAGCCCGGTGCTGTCCAGTGGTTCGATAATTCCCTAAATGATCTACACAAATAGGTTGTATGACTATATAAAACCCAAAGTTAGTTGTTATATCGTCTAATACTGTCTGAACATATTACATACAGCCGACCTCAAATCCCAAACATCATTTTCAATGTTGTATAGATTTGGGGAAATTATACAACTATTCTATATTGGTCATTTTTTGTAAGATATAAGAATGTGTAAAATATAAGAGAGGCAAATATTCAACTCTGATATGGAATATACTGATGCAGATTTAAAATTTTATATTTTGAGCAATGTTAAAAATGGATTGTTCATTTTCTAGAAAAAAGATAGATCTAAATATTTCCGAAATCGATTGTCAACATTAGCGTCAATTTATCTTCCTGATAATAATAGGCTGTCAAGTACAGCGCCCCCATAATGTTAACATTGACAATTATGCAAATGAAGGCGAACAGTGTTGAGACTACTTGAAGTTTTGACGTATAGTCAACCGATCAAAGTTCAAAGTGTACAAGGCCACTACAAAGAATGATGTTCAAGCGATGCAGTGCTGCGAGTGCAGCGATGAAAGCCTAGTTCTTCAAACTGCTTGCTGTTAAGTATGAATTCGTAAGTTATTAACGCACCATATTTAGTAGTGTACCCTGTCACTAACAGCCATTCCTCAACAGTTATTGTCGATTTAAGTATGTATCGCACCCCTGTACACTGTTGCGTAGTGTATCAAAAGGGTCTTCTTTTTTTAATAATAATGGGGTCGACTGGGTCAGAAAGCGGCTATATTTGTTTTCCAAATCTGACCGCATGATAAACGGATGTTTATATTGACAGTGGCATGACTGCCTATCTGTCTGTCTGAGTTCATATTTGTCAAATATAATATATGAGTTAAGTCGAATGATTTGGCTGGGACAGCTCAACTTTGAGATTTAACTTTTTCGGGCATAGCGCAGTTCTCAATAAGTTATTTATCTGAATCCGTACATTTCAAATCCAGCCCTATACGCTTCGTTCTTTATTTAAATGCTTGTTACACATTCCACGTTACGTATTTGCAGTCTTTAAGAAAAGTCACAATTGGGATCATTACCCCCAAAACAACAGTGATCACTAAACACAAAAAATCACCTTGTTAGAATGCTCAACAGGCTTCTTGATTCCAATGCTAACCGCAAATAAACTGAACTGTAACGGTCTTAAAATCGCATCTGTGAGTCGCATTTTCAGTATTTTGTTGATGTGAACAAATAAAAAAACCACTACAATATTTTGTGCGTATTGATTAAGTGTACGACACATCGCAATTGTATTAATCTGTGGATGCAACAGAAACTGTATGTGTTACTTATGCATTTATGTAATTATTGCTGAGAAAAATAACTGTGAAATAATAGTACATACTTCTTCAATTGTTTCTTGTTTCTTACTATTTCGAATCACAAAAGCATCTAATATATAAGCATAATATTATCATTATGTAATTCTGTAGCCAACTATGACAATACATCTGCAATAGAAAATGGTTCGTTGTAAAACTTGTAAGCCGATATATAGTGTTAATGTGTCATAATTTATTCCATTCAGATGAATCAAACAGTGACTTTGACCTAGCCACATTCACTGTCATATTAAACCATGGACCTACGCATTCCAAATATATTGTGTATTTAAAGCCACATGTTTTAATTAATCACTGTTTCATGATTTCACTAAATGTGCAAAATCAACGTTCTTCGTAACTATAACGTCAATGTAATTTACAAATTATATTATATTTGCATAGTTTATATCACTACTTTTCATAGTCTACAAACAAAAGTTGTACAAAGTAGAAGTCGAAATATAGTGTTAATTAAATTATAATTTATTTAAATCATATAAAATGAACGATAACCTCGACCTAGTAACTTAAAATCGAGCATACCCAACCAAAATTGTTCTATTAGGTCGAAATTAGTATTATTATTATGCTTTATTTCAGACTCAAAAGTCCATACAGAAATTACAACAGAAAAATTACAACAGAAATAACATTATTTATAAAAAAGGCGTCTATAATTGCGCCAAAAACTAGACCTTAGGAATAAATCACTATTTATACAACTATCAACTATACTATTGTCACTTTGAAACAATCGCTGTTTAAAATTGTACAAAGATTTTCTATGAAGTGTTGAAAAATTAAAAATATTTCTTATGACACAATTAGCACTTGCACTGCTCGACCTCTCTAATTTAAAAATCAACCGAAGTGCATTGTTGTACGCTAGATGCAGAGCACGCATCTGCTTAACAGTATAATTGCTCCATACATTTAAGCAATAGTTACTATATAAAAATGAGCGAAAAAGAGTACATTTCACATGTTCCGAACACTTCCCAAAGTTCCTCAAAATAAGATTTGCCCTTGCATAAATTGACCTGAGTTGTCTACGCATGTCTCTAGCATCATCTCCAGAGGCTGACACTATGTATCCAAGGTACTTTATATCATCAACAAATTGTAATGGTTTGTTATACAAATATACAGACGGAACTCTAAAATAGCTCGTATAACAAGTTTAGTGATTTGGTCCGTCGTGTCACGAACTAGTCTGAATTTGTTACTAAGCCTCGTACATTTATTGATTAGCAAAGATTATTATCAGCAACAGATGCTGAATGGCTAAAAAGATGAGCCCCTCTATTTGGAAGCATGTTCAAATCTTCCGATTAAATTCCCAAGGATCCGGAACCCGACTCGGAGCTAGCGTAGTATGCTAGTATCAATTTATGCAGATGTAGACTTAGTATGATTACACATAACCTTATACACTATGTATGTCATATATAATTCATTGTGTAAGCTGTTGATACATCTGTGATATGTTCTTGCTACAGAATGCAGTGATAAAATTGGACGACATTGTTTTCCTCGCTACGTCATGTTACAAACTTCGTCGCCCGAAGACGCGATATATAGGAAAGGATACGCTTTCTGGCTCATTTACCAGAGTCCCACTCATACAGTGTTTATCACTCAGTTATTATGCTTTACATTAATTACCAGAAAATATATTTTTATACTATTATGTACACAGATAACTCTTACCAAATCAGTATTCCCGAGCCATCGGTCAGCATGAAGCAGCAAATACGTAATCATAATATCAGCGAACCCCTGGTTGGAGTTGTTCCAAATGACGTCATCAATCAGTCAGCTACACAAACGGAAAATGGTATGGAAGTTCCACATAACCACAGCAACACAAGATGTGGTATTATTGGATTCTACCCAGAGTGTCTCCAACGTTTTTCATCGATCAATACGTTCTTTGTCCTGTTGTTATTCTCGGGTATGGCATTTGCATATGGTATAAGTGTGTCACACGTGAGTATCACTAGTCTTCAGATACGATATGGACTTTCCAGTAGTTTCATTGGCATATATAATCTTCTAAACATGACAGTACTCACCTTGTCTGTAATCGTCGTGACATTGCTGGGAGGACGTCCCAATAGCCACAAACCGAGGTGGGTGGCAGGTGGAATGTTTTTATGCGCCATTGGGTTCTTCATGAAATCGGTAACACAATTTTCATCGCCGCTCTACGACTATCAACAGAATCTGCGGGTTGAGAGAGGCGACCCTAGTTCCCATGAGCTATGCAGTGACTCGGATTTAAACAATTCATACAACTTTCTAGATTATGAGAGATGCAGCGACACCGATTCCTCGCGTTCTATCATTCCTATAGGGTCTGAGATGGTTATACTTCTGTTGATTGGCAATGCTTTAATTGGATGTGGAAATATTCCAATATTCATATTAGGGATTGCTCATATTGATGATAATGTCAGCAAAGAAAAGTCACCCCTGTACATGGGTATGTATGTATCATGCAGTAACAGTAATGTGATATCATATTTTTCCTTATCACATGACCACGGTGCATATCATTCACGACGGTGCCGTTTTTTATTTCTGCAATTTGAAGATTTCAGACTCGGTAACAACAATTACTGACATTGTGCAATGACAATGATTACTTAATAATGTCTGAAAGTTACCGAAATATAGCTCGTGTAATGACTAGACAAAACATGTTTGTAAAACTGTTTAAAATTATGATCATTCTGAATAGTTACACCAATATGAGATTTTGATTCTCCTAATCAAAAGCGTTTGTTTACTTCACTGAACCGCCATTACTGCTTGTCGATTCAGTTTACTGTCCAGATGCGTAAATACCACTGATAGAACTAGCCCATAATTGAATAAAAATGTTCTCAATGTGTCTCTAAGACCGCAAATACATTGTAGGTTCCAAACAATAATTATTTGATGATAGAAATTCCCAATCTGTGACCGTGTTATATAATATTTATCAGACCCGTGTAGTAATGTTCATATGTATCACACCAAAGGCTACACTCGTTTTAAGCCGGTTAGTCGTCACCTGACAAATTGTCCAAATATCTCGTTGACAGTCCACATATTTCGACGCCGCTTTAATTAATACGATAATTCATTTGATACCCTGTATGTAAGTCAGAAATAACAGAAATATGGCACAATGTTAGTGATTTATCCTATATAAACTGGACAGAATTCTGGAGTACATTATTTCAACCATTGGACGAGTGTAGGCTTTATATTGAATCCAACAATGTTCTACTGTGACCTTTGTATGTGGCAGTGCAGTGTTTGAATGCTTGTCTTAATCACTGATGTTGTTGCTGTTATATATATATATATATTATGTATATATTAATGAACCAAGTTATAGAACACATTGCTACAGCAGATCCCGAGTCGGTGAACATATGTGAGCAACATCGTGCGTCCAACCTGCGCACGCTGGTTGTCAAAATGACGTCACAATGTGCTGGCCTACGTGGCTCACATTATTTGTTGTCACGTGATATACAAAATAATCTTTGTAATATATTTCATAGGTATATTCTTTGCAACGTTTGGAATGGGTTCAGTGGTAGGTATGCCAATAGCTTCGTATTTTACAAACATATATGTAGACTTTTATCGAGTAGATGGCGTTGACATTGACCCAAGTGATCCAAGATGGGTTGGAGCATGGTGGCTTGGATATATTATCATATTTCTGACGACACTTGTTATATCTTGCTTGTTATTCCTTGTTCCTAAACAACCACCAGAGACACAGCATAGTGTAAGGCTGGACACAGTAACACAAAGATCAATTCATGGCGGAAATATAAAAGGTGAAAATGATTGCTTAATACTTTTCACACAGAAAATGTTGAAAGGCGGTGGTCGTCCGCGCATGTGCGACATTTGATAAATATTGATTTTCCCATAATCCAATGCGCTTTTCTAATCAAATCACGAGTATGTGCTTTGACCTGCGCGCGACATACACAAACTACTATCGGTGACTTATTCGATACCTTCCAATCACCGGAATAATTACCTAACTGAAGCTTGGTAATCTCTCAGTTTGTACACGGAGGACTGCGCATATATGATACCCGTGTCTCGCGCATGCGTGGCGCCATGACCACCGCCCCTTAAAATCTAACCTTTCTGTCACAATATTGTCAAATATAGTAAACTTAATTGTGATCGAAGACGATCTGGATGCTTAACGCACATGTGATATGCTTACCATTTTCGTGCTTAGGAGTGGCAGTTTAACAATTCTCCTATGTGCATTATCACTGCGAACAAACATAACGGATGTAGTTTACCGTCATGGCATTGAAACACGACTGTAACATGACTACCGACAATCGAAAATAGTAGAATATATTCAGAATCGACTGATTATTATTTATTGATTATATGATCCTCATTGTAATTTTGCGGTATTGTACTGGGTATTTTCATCCCACCATATTGAAAAATGTGCAGTATCCTCGTAATAACTTCGTAGTATGATAAATTACATTTGTTGTACACTATTTAGTCAAGCAAAAGATAACCTGTGTCGGCACTCAGTAATATTAATATGAGTAATTAATCTGAGATAAAGTAAGCAATTTACGAATTTCACTGTAGGTTTATTTAATAACACACCTTAATAAGAAGTGCAATATAGCGTGTAAGCTATTTTGAACAGTTGATTTTTTCAAGGGAGTATTCATATTGATTTTACTGAATGCCGACACAGGTAATCTACAAATACATGTCGAGGTGAATTACCCTGTGATCATAATCTCTTCGTAGAATACTCACGCACGTTTATGCGACTGTTATGCAGTATGACGGTGGTATGCGACATCCTTGGCAGAGCTGTAAGCCATGCTTTACTAGACGTGACACTGTTCTATGCAAAGTATTTAGAAGAGCAATTCCGATTAACAACTGATGTGGCCGGTCTGTTGATGGGTATTTATAGTGACCGTAACTTTTGTCATTACAGATTGCTATACATATTGCTGTTGCCTTTTTTGCAATTTCTTAATTACACGTAATTCTGGTGAAGGACAACTACGCTGAATTATTTTGTGTTACATTAACTATTTGTTTAATTATTCTGTTTATTCGTTTTAGCTACGTGCATGCTTTT